CGGTCGCCTTGGGATGGCCACGAACATTCCATCGTCCGCATACAAGCCCATGCATGAGTACCAAATTCTTCGAGTTAGCAATTCCCCTCACCTCTGTGAGCTTTGCATAACTCTTTTGGTCATTGAGCAACTCATTCCCCCTTGCATGGTCTCATTATTGCCAAGCGCCTCGCTTGCCTAGAGCACCATCAAGTATAGTTGTCAACGTTGAGCCGTAGCTCAAACTCAGCCATCCCAACCTTTGTGCGCTCCAAATTCTTCCAAGCTTGCCTGTTCTCGTAGTGCCTCTTGCGCGAAGGGTTGGCCATTCCTCTGAATGCCAATCTCAGATGCCCGTTCCTCTGAGCGACTCTTTTCCCTACATCTCTATGCCCGTTTTCCCTCAAACGGTCGCGCGTGTGCTGACTGCCCTCAACGTAGCCCCGCTAGGTCCCCCACGTTTGCATGTCAAGTGTTTCTATGAGTGCTTGTCTCGCTCTGATACCATATGACACGGACTTAGCTGGTTTTTCCTAAGTCGTGCGGCACCCTTGCGTGTCCGTCCCCAAAGGTCAGCCTCCCCGAAGACTCCCATTGTCCCTTAGGACCAACAAAAGAGAGAACGGGCAAGAGAGAACGCCTCAATCGGGATCCACAAGCAAACATGTTCGAAAAACACTTCATAGACAATGCAAATTACAAACAGACTTTACAAGCTCTGAACAGTGGCACAACAAAGGGTAAAATGGTCCATTACAGATCGAAAATCTCTCGCACGTGTCCACATGACACAACCTTTATTTACAAGCCTAAAGAGGCCATCAACCCAACTAAAATGGGACTTATAAGCCTTCGGCTGCCCCTCTACACGCTGTACAAGGCATGAACATGCCAACAGACACGGACAGATATAAGCATTACATCAAACATCCTGTTTCAAAGTTTGTCCGTGACAATAAGTTGGGCACTATTTGAGAAAGTGAAATCTCCCACCATTGGAGGCAAGACACTATCACTAGATGAAGGGAAAGACAGAGTCCTACCTTGAGGGCATCACAAGATAAGTAGAAAAACCCAAGCATAGGGTCAAAAGGGCACTAACTAGGTCGGGGGACTTATAGATCAAACTTGGTTGGAATATAATACTTAGTTCGCAAACAATCCAAGAGAGATGCGTTGACCACTAAATCGTAGTCATGCAAACTATTTATAAACTCTAAGTCCTAAAGAACCTTTGGGTTCATGGGAGATATCTCCTCCGATGAAGGAGTGGATACAACCTCCTATGCTCTTAGACTGTCCAAATATGAAGCACAAACCTTAATCAACTAATGGCCAAAGGATCAAGAGAAACTTATATGAGAATAGAAAGATATCCTGACCTGAGATGAAAGAGTAGGATGACGAACGATTGGTTCATTATAGAACTAGCATTGGGATGATAAATTTAAAGATCGACCTGCCTAGTTAGGAACTAGGGCGAGGTGGAGAATGTTCCTAAGGAGGCCATAGGGGCTAAGCTAAAAGCTTTTAGAGAGGCTTAGATAAAGAATGAATCAAGATAAGTGTCCCTTTAGGGTAACTCCCAAGAGACACTAATAGCAAGAGAATTCGAAATTCATCGCAACGGAGGGAAGAGTTGAAGCCTACCATAATGGGAGAATCCAAAATTTGCCATAACAAAGTGAGGACTTGAAGCACGTCATAATGGGAGAATTTAAAATCCGTCACAATGGAGGGAGGGCTTGAAACCTACCATGGTAGGAGGAGGACTTGAAATCTGCCACGAGAAAGGGTTGACTTGAAGCCCGTCATGATAGGAGGAGGATCTAAAACACACCACGGTGGAAGGACTCGAAATCTACTATGATGGATGAAGGATTTAAAATATACTACGATGGAGGCATAAGGCTAAATGTGCATAATGTATATCAGTCGAGAAAACCTGACTTATGCCAAGAGAAATCCGCTATGGTGAAAGCATAGGGTAAAATGTGCTCAAGGCATATGAGTCGAGTAAACTTAACCTTCCCTAAAAGAAATCCACTATGACAGATGCATAGGGTGAGATGTGCTTGAGGCATGTGACTTAGGAAAACCTAACCTACGTTAAGAGAAATTCACCACCGTAAAGGCATAGGGTAAAATGTTCTTGAGACATATGAGTTTGAAAAACTTGACCCGCACTAAGAGAGATCCACTATGGTGAAAGCATATGATAAAATATGCTTTAGGCATGTAAGTTAGAAAAACTCGACTCGTGATAAGAGAAATCTGCCATAGTGGAGATGTAAAGCAAAATATGCTCGAGAAGTATAAGTCAGGAAAATCCGATCAGTGCTAAGAGAAATCTTCCAAAGTGGAGGCACTAGGCGAAATGTGCCCGAGACGTGTGAATTAGAGAAACCCAACCTGCATTAAAAGAAATCTGCTATGGTGTAAGCACAAGGCAAGATGTGCCTAAGACATGTGAGTCGAGTCGGGTACCATGAGAAATCCATTACAATAGAAGCATCATAAGGCAAGATATGCTCGAAGCGTATGAGTCGGGAAAACCCAACTTACGCCAAGAGAAATCTGTCATGGCGCATGCATATAGCGTAATGTGCATGAGCCATATGAGTCAGAAAAATCTAACCTGTATCGAGAGATATCCCCTATTGTGGAAGCATAGAGCAAAATGGGCTCGAGGCATATAAATCGAAAAAACTTGACCCGCACCAAGAGAAATTCATCATGGTAGAGACACAAGGCGAAATATGCTCTAGATGTGTGATTTGAAAAATTCGACTCGTGCAAGAGAAATTTGTCATAGTGGAGGCGTAGGGCGAAATGCGCCCAAGACATATGACTCAGGAAAGCCCAACCCCCATCCGACCAACGTGTGTCCTATTGACGTCATGAAAGGGTAGGTTAACAAAGTGCCTGTTAGATGAATTAAACGTCACACTCCAAGCTCCCTAAACAAGACCGGAACATTAGAGCGATTATAGATTATCCCTTCCAAGACTAGGTATAAAACCCGAAGCTATGCCGCTGATTCTCTTTTCGAGAAAAATCCATACCTCCATCTCGAAACCACTTCAAAACCTACCTCGATCAATGCGTCTCCAACAACGACCACCTCGCTCGGCCATCGCGAGAGTCATTTAAATGACTCTTTGCCTTCGGAATAAAATCGAGGCATACCGAATCGTGATCCATGACGTAAGGCAAGAACATGCATCTTATTTAATCTGATAAGTCATTAACTTCAAGCAAGATGTTTACTTTAGATGTATATTTCCTACTCCACTGCCCCACAAACACATGTTTTACCCATCAAAGAGTTGCGATGGTGAAGTGAAAAGGCTCAATAAGAACCAGCATTGCATGACCTACAGCTCCACGATAAAGCTGACACACTTGCTTCATGGGAGTTAAATTACTGGACTTTTAGGTTCGAGATCATTATTGTGAAAAGACAGTCCTCCATGGTAAAAGTAGAAAGAGAGTTCCAAATGGGGTTGAAGGAGAGTGAAGTGGTGCACTGCCGATGGGTACGCCCGCAGTCATGTTAAGGGACCAGAAGAGGCCAACGAATAAAGTTCCTTCTCCAAGAATGAGACGATGGGGTCGGCCTCTTAAACTCCTTTTTCATTTATGAACAGTGAGGATTAAATGGAAGAGAGAAGGACAATAAATTATATGGTCCAACGAATATGAATTCTTCTCATCGTCAGAAAAAACCAATCCTATAAACTTCACGTTGGCACCGGCAGCATTTTTGAGGTTGGCATTCTCCATCTTAGTTTGGGAGGAAGAGTGACCCAAATGACTCGTTAAAGAGAGACGAGACTTGTTCATGGCCTTACATGAACAAGAGTCGATTCCTAGCAAGTGCTAAAAGTCCTTATTATTAGGTATCGCTCTTTTGAGTGCTAATTATATATTATTTTTTATACTTTATATTGTTAATATCATATTGGTTTACTTCAAATATTTACATTGAGATCACTATCATTTTGAATGTGAAACAAATAACTCTATTTTTTATAGTTAGGTTGACAAACAAATATAATATATGATACTACGTATTGGATTAACATGAAGGTGATGAACAAAAAGATATCATTACATGATATGTTAAAATAATATTATATATATAATATTATTTTTGCTATCCTGTTTTAAGGATAAAATTAAATAGCATTTATTTATTTTGCCTTCTACATATATTTGAATGTTTTCCCTCCAATAATAATACAAGAAGCATGTTTCTATTAGAGCTATGGATGCTACAAATCCTCATGCTGTGATTATGTTTCCTCTCTTTGTTAAAACTAGTTTTTCTAGGATAGGAATGAGAATGAGTAGGGTATCCGTAAATTTTATCATACATATTTAAAGAAACTTATTATTTACGATCCTCAATTTACTATTGATAATCCCTTGCTATTCATAATATCTTAAAAAAATAAAAAATATTATTTTATTATTTATAGTCTTAGTATTATCCATTTTATCATTTTTTATCTTAATTATTTTTCACAACCTCTTAGTTCATCTTCGTTGATGCTCTCACCGTCATTCATCGTAGACGTCATCGATGCTCGTACAATGACTCCTCGATATCATCCACCGAGGAAAGAAGAATATTTACGTCTATTTATAGAGGAATAGTTTAAAAATATTAAAAAAATTATAAATATAAAAAAAAAGGATTGTAAAATAGTAATCTCCTATTTAAATCCTACTAACTTATTAGATTTGGAATTCAATTTATCTTCCAAAATTAGCCCTATATCACAAGTGGATTGATTGATGGTGGTCAAGCTTTCATAGTATTTTGGGTTAAGTGATTTTAAATAATTCTATCGTATTAGTATGTCATTTATTGCATATAATTATATTGATTGTGATAAATGGGGACGGATTTAGTATTGGATAGGGTGAGTTTTTAGACTTGCAAGTCATTTATTCCATAAGATTATGTTGATCGTGACAAATGGAAATGGACTTTTGTTTGGGTCTCACTTGAGCTCAGCCACAGAGTTAGCTGTTGGCCCTTATTCTATTGCTCCTAGTAATATAAAGAGCAGATAAAATACGCAAACACCTGGTGGGCAGCAGCTGCCTTATCTGCTCACTGTGCCTTCTCTGCTTCCTTCGAATTCGATCCTTCCAATGGGCAGCTTCGCCAAGCACATGATCCTTTGCCACATGACCCCGACGCCATCCACCCCCGGCCACCACCACCACCAGCAGCGCCGCGGGGTGGAACCACCGCCTCGTCCTCCTGCGGTAGCCGAAGAGAAGCCTAACCACTCGACGCGGCGGTGGACGGTGCTGTCGACGGTACTAACTGCCTCCACGGCGCTGGGCCTACAGCGGGCGCCGCCGGCCGCCTTGGCGCAGGCCGAGCAGAGCTGGGGCACCCGGTCCTTCATCAAGGAGAAGTACTTCCAGCCGGGGCTGACGCCGGAGGAGGCGGCGGCGAGGATCCGGCAGACGGCGGAGGGGATGCGGGACATGCGCCACATGCTCGACACCATGTCCTGGCGCTACGTCATGTTCTACGTCCGACTCAAGTCGGCCTACCTCGACGCCGACCTCAAGAACGCCGTGGCCGCCGTCCCGGAGCCCCGCCGCAAGGCCTTCGTCAAGACCGCCAACGAGCTGGTGGACAACATGGCCGAGGTAGCAACGCTCCATTCACATCCTCCGCCTTCCCCTGTTGCTCACCAAGTGTTCGATCGCTTGTAACAATCCATTACCGTTGGGTTTTGTTTGTGTACGTAGCTGGATCGTTATATACGCAGCCCAAAGGTATACGAATCGTACCTCTACTACGAGAAGACGTTGAAGTCACTGGATGAGTTGGTTGCACTGCTGGCCTAACATGACGGGAGGGAGGAGATCAGATCGCTGTGCGGGATTTGGTGCAGGATTAGTTGCAAACTGGTGTCTGTTATAACGGATGCACCGTATGATCGACTTCTTGTTTGATCGGAGGTTTGTATGTACATATATTGATGAAAACTGTTGCCATGTCCGATAAATTGTTAGTTGTTATTTGTTCCAAAAATGAAGCAAAATAACAAAAATAATGGATAGAAATTATTTTGTTGCGAGGTAATGATTGATCTCAAAGTATTTTTAGTATAACGTACTATAGGTTTAATCTCGAATCCAAAGCTTGTATGATTTGAAGACAGTCCCACATGTGGGGCCCGACGTACTCACTAGTCAAGAGACAGCTGGCCGACCCGTAAAACGTACGTGGATGGGAAAGCGTATCTCCAAACAAATATCTCCGGAACAGTTGACTTTGACCGTTCAAAGGGGGTTGAAGGCCGTCTTGTCTCTTGAGCAACCGAAGAGTTCGAGATCAGGGCTCGACAAAGAGCACAACCGGAGCCGACGACGACGAGATCGAAGCAGAGAGAGAGAGAGAGAGATGGAGGGGCGGAACCTGAGCGGGTTCTTGATCGGATGCCTGGGGACGGCACTGACGCTGGGCGCCTACTCACAGACGCTCGTCTCCTCCACGCAGTGCATCGCCATCGGCCTCCTCATCCTCATGTTCGGCCTCTTCGTCAAAGAAGGTTTCCTCTCCCTCTGAAACCGCTCAACTCCTTTCAGTCTCGTGAGGAAGACATGAGCTGACTCCAAGTTATACTCCTCTGCTGCTTCTTATCACACGTAGCACTATGTTTGACCTTTTGATCTGTAATAATAACTTGAAGCAGAACGATACCAAGTAGAATGAAAGAAAGGGAGTCCCATTTTCTTCTATGAAGAATCATGCTAACTTGAATCTAAGATCCTTCTTAACATCTTGCTCAAGAGTAACATATTCTTTTATGGATCTTTCATAGTGGTATGTAGATGTCATGGGAGGATCTGATAGAGAACTTATGTGCACCATAAATATCTCAATGATCATGATGGATTTGAGCTACTGATGACTTGATACAAAACTAGCAAACCTTTGTCTAATTGGTGAGCAGGACAGAAAGATGTTAAGCTATATTAGTAACATCTTGTGGTGAGAATAAACAGACAACGAAATAGTTGATTGAGATGATGATGAAATGTAAATATGAGTCGTCAAAGAATTGCAAGAACTTTTGGAGACCCTTCCAAAATAATCAGACTGTAAACGCTTTTATTTAAGGTTGTGTCAAACGCAACCTTCGGTCTTTTTTCTTTCGGTTCAGAAGGCACCATTTTATAAGTGAAAGTAACAGAGAAATCAAACAAAAAAATGATATTAATTGCAATTCCAAAGATCAGAGAGAGAGAGAGAGAGAGAGAGAGCAGTGACGAAGACAAGTGAGAGTAAGAAGAAAAAGGAACCCTAAGCAATGTTAGTAGATGAAATCAAGCTACAAGCTAAGAAATCAAATCGATTCTTTTCCCATGGAAGTCAGCTGGTTCACAGCACTCTTCTTCGGAAGCAGTACTCCGAAATCCAATCAAGATCATCATCTTTGGCCTAGCATGATAAGAAGAGGCAAACATGTAGCCAAAAACGACTTGCCGGCCTTTAACAACGGTGCGTGCTACTACTGCTATTCAAGATGAACATGCATGAGTAAGCTCGCCGGCAAGTCATCCTTGGCTACACACTGTGACCTCATCCTCCCATGCAAGGCCTTAGATGAGAGTACCAACAGCAGAAACCCAGAGATGACATGCAACGCACGTAGCCCCAGAACAGTGCTGCAACGATGAGGAATGCATCTACTGTTCTTTATCCCAACACAGGGCATCATGCTCAGAACAGGAAGACGGAGGAGTTCCCATTGGACGATGGGAACTTTCACAAGGGGAAAGCTAACGAATGGGGTTGAGATGATGAGAGCTGTCGAAGGGATGGCAGCTTATAAAGACTGTTCGTGTGGTTTGGACCAGCGGAGAAAGATAGCTCAGCGGGGCTTTTATGATGGATTTGACAAGACAGTGCAGGAGAAACCTACGAAAAAGTTCGCCACCTCCTACATGACAGAGGTAAGAGGCCCTCTCACAGCCCCAACATGGAATGAAGAATGGGTGTGTACCTGTGCTCATGTTTATGGCGCAAAGCGCCGTATGACCCGTGCCTTTGCTGGTGTACGTCCGCAGCAGTAAGTGCGTGCCGTGAAGACGATGGTTGGCCATGCAAATGGCGTCTTTGGATGAAGGCAAAGCTGTTCCCACAACGTTTGATCTCACAGCAAAACCCCTTTCAGCAGGCAGCCAGGGGAGAGTAGTCCTTCCTAAGCTGTGAGATAAAAAGGTGGAGAATGAGATCTAACAAAGCGTTGTAGGCTCCGAATCGTCCTTCTCACCAGCAAAAGAAGTCGAAGTCGCCGAAGATGGGGGTACGTCGCTGCGGCCATGACCGGAGCAGGCGCCGATGCCTACTATCTTATCTGCGTGCAGGCAAAAGTGTACGAGGTCATCTTTCCGCCGCTGCTTTCTTTTCTATCAAATATGCCACCATCAAATCAATTAACAGTTGGGAATATAAAATAAATATATACATATCAGAAATATGTCAAGCAGAATTAAGCCCCTTCAATTTTACCCGTTGACCGCCTACAGACTCTGCTCTATTGATGCAACCAATGCAAATTGAAGGGTATACTTTTAGGAGAAAAAATGTGTTCTTCATCTGAAAAGAACAATTTTCACAAGGAACACCATAACACAATCTAGCATAACAATTTGGTCCGATAACAATTAATGATAGCAAGGGACACAGGGGTTTGATGTTAGAGGACATCAAAGGATCAGTCTATGTGGTAAGAAAGGACCAGTTTGGCTGCTCACCCTTGGCACATGCAATCTGGAGCTGGATATGTATATATGGATTGTTTTGGTTTCCTCAACCTGATTTGCCCTTGTCTAGCTTTGTGACCAGCTTGGACAGCCCGTTGGAACTCGGACCAGTCCATGGTCTTGTTCAGGAAGAGTTGTCCTAGCAAACCCATGTTTGGTCGTATGGTCTTCAAGTTTTCGTAAGTTCGATAGCCCAGCTAAAACCATCAAAGTCCTCAGTAAGTGACTCTTGTAACATCTATCATGGCAAATGATGGGAAATTTACTGTATGATTATGACTAGTGAGATACTTACAACGGCATTGTGCATATTCCCTGGGGATGCAGAAATGAAGATATCACTGTGCATGCTAACATGGTAATCGACGGCGGCTAGAAGAGATGCCTTTCCTTCCACCTTAGCTAACTCCTCTTCTGAAGCAAGACTCTTCTTATCATCCATCAGTGGGAAAAGCATGCGTAGGCTGGATATCCTGGCCTCTCCACCATACACCTGAAGCACAAGATTCATTGTCCAAATTCTAAAGATAAAGAATGATTCTAATAGAAAGAGTTAGTATGGAGGACCTTATGAGAGGCAAGATATAGACGAGTGCTGCTGTCAAAGCCTAAAGCTGCCAGTAGCAATCCTATTTCTTCAGGAGTTAATGGACATCTACCCTGGCCTCGCAGTTCCTCATCAGTGAATTGGGAGTTTAAGACCCTCCCTTGCCAAATCACTTGCCTGTACTTGGCCAAAGCAAGCCTTTCAGCTCTACCACCCCCAAAATCACAGGCAGAGTGTGCAGCCATGTCCTGCATATTTTTGTTGATTAAGACTAATAACAAAATTGCTTCATGTAAAAATTGGATCCACCACCATGGATTGATTAGACATAGAATCAAATATGTTGGGATTTTAAGTGTGTTTGAGTTATGTAAGCAATTTTGTTCCCATGGTAGATTGACTATAAAATTAGGATGGATGTACCTTATCGAACCGAAGGTGCAGCACAGCAAACTTTCCAGGGCCCTCCTGAACATTTTCATCCGCTACTTCCTTTAAAAACTCCTCAGGTTGTTGATGGACTGGACTCCTCAACCGCTTAACAAGTGTCTCCCCTAAAGCGTTGATATGAGAGACAAATGCCAGTGCTTGAAAATTGACCTTACACCTTAAGCGTTGTATATCCCCAGGCAAATTCTCAAAAGCCAATCGGTGTGAAAAAGGGGAAATGGCAGCAATACCATAACTGAAGAACAACAACCAAAGTAAGCAACTGATAGAATTAGAAAATATGAGTGTATCAAACAGAGAAGATAAATCCTGGCATCTCACTTAATGAAGTAGAACAAATCAAACGCTAGACAAAGGAAGTCACCCGGACAACAAAATTTGTTCAAAGATATAACTCATGCAAAATTGGTTACTTTTTGCAGAAGTCTGAAACATAAAGGTTGTAGTACTTCCATATAAGATATCAAAGAATTGCCTTGAAGATAAGAAAACCTAAGTTCTCATATAATGCCTGAAGTATGTCTGCTTAGTAGAATAGATGTCAATGGTCTTTGGATAGTTTCAGTTGGCAAAGGCATGAACACTTACTGGTGACTTCATATAGGGGCAGACCAAAAACAAAGAATAAGTTTCTAATTTTACTGGATTGTAAACAAAAGTTATCTCATCACAGAGTGTACTCCAGTCAGCACTGAGGTCCTCAGGTTCTGCCTTTCCATGTCCTGAAGTGAATACTAATGTCAAAAATACTCTGAAAACAACATGCTTCAATACCAGATCAGTCATACTACATAAGACTAATGCAAGAAAATAGATTCCTATGACTTTGACAATTAAATAATTCATATGATCATAGACATGCAAGTCCGATAAATGACAAAATGTCTTAAGATCCCAACTATTTGGGCTTCGCTACTGGATCTTCTCTAGCAACTGAGTTCTATACGCAATACCACTAGTTCAAGCAATGCCAAGCAATCTCTTTTATAGCTTCTATAAAGTCCTCTTAGGTCTTCTTTTGTATCTCCTCCCACCATCAACATGAATCAACTCACCTCACTTTCTAGTGTAATTATAGATGAACATTTTTCATTAAATGATTTTTTTCTTGATTTTCCTCCAATCAGAACTATACCTAATTACTTATGATTCCAAATATTTCTTATTACATCTCTTCTTGTAGTTCCAAATATGATGTCAACCCTGGGATAATTTGCCCACTTGGATGATGTGAAAATGTCAACCTTCAGAAATTTTTCGTGCACATGGAATGGATTTAGATTTAAGTATCATGAAGACCAATTATAAGAACATATAACTTATAAATCACCAGGCACCACGACAACAAAAATGAAAATGCAATGAAGGTAAGACAGTGAAAGCTGCTGAATGAGTAAGATGGGTTGAATTAGAATGAAGCTTAGTGGACAGAATCAACACATGAAGATAATCGATGGGGGTCAAGAGTTAATTGATATAAACAGAATACGCAAATCTGTAATTTAAGTCTATGAATTGCAAATTTATTGATTCTAAAAGTAAAAGTGGAATGACATTTGAGTATACTTTGGGGCCTGCTGTACATAAGGATTCCAAAAATCTGTTTTCAATATTGATAACGATTTGCTTAGTTAGCTATTAGCAGAACAGTTTCTAAAAGCATACCCAAATCAGCCTAGCAATCATGCTGACTAGGAAAGGATAAAGAAAATAAGGATGACAGATAACATAGAAGTCAAGCTGGTGGTGTCTTCGATGGAGGATAAAAGCAACAATTTTAGCAGCATATTTGAGGAAAAAGATGACAAAAAAACATAGAGTGGCCTAGTGCTATTATGAACTTGATATTGATCCCAAAGATCAAATGTTAATCCTGTTTTGTTGAATATCGCCCACAAGGTATAGTTTCATTAGGATTTCAACTAGCAAAAATTCATATATGATTGTAAATATTCGATCCATTTAGCCAACCCCAAATAATTGGGATATTATAGTTTGTTGTTGTGTTGTATTGAATATCTGATTGAGAACAAGCAGAAACTTAAAGCACAACATTTGGCTTCACAAATCAATGCTGATGGTAAATAGAAAAGACAAAAAGTAGTTAGTTACTCAGGCACCAATAAAAGTCATCATTACAAACCTCTGTAAGACAGGTAGAACATTCTCGAGATACCAGTTTGCTGAAGCATGAGAAGGTGCAGTCTTTACTCTTGTAGCCCGAATGCCAATAGCATAATACTCTCTAGTGCTCCAAGAGTATTCCTTGGGCAATTCTCTAGTTACTGAGATTTCTTCTTTGAGGACATCAATAAAATGATCCACATCATATATTTCCTCAAAAGAGCTGTAGTAGCAAAAGCAACAAGATATACTGTTGATCCACATGACAAAATTTGGCATTTAAGGGTACATAAAAAGATGAAGTTAGGTTTTAAAGATACCTTGAGTCTCTCCAGACAGGATTGATTTCAAGGTATGGGATAACAAGGGTAGCATTCAAAATTTTAGCAACAGCAACTGCATCGCAGATCTGGAGAACACATACATCAATGAGAAAATTTCTGTCTAATTCTGACCCATTATATTTGGCCAAGAGAAAATATTCGGTTGTTGGAACAAAGAGAAAAAAAGAATCTGGCTTACTCCCATTCTCTGTTGATTCAGTCCACCATCAAGGAAAACCTGAATATATCCATTTGACTTACTGGGGAGTGCTAGATAGAACACAATATAAGACCTCAGCCAAGAACCATGAAGATGAAAGATAAACTAATACTTGCAAGAGAATATCACAACAAATACTTTTCTGACATGGTCAAGGAGTAAGAAGTACGTAGATTTCACTGTTACACAGGCACTTACAAGAGGTACTTGTAGATTCAATACAAGGTTTCCATCCTTGTGATGCTAAGGGAGCCCAAAGCTCAGACTGTTGATCAATTGACTTCAAGAAAATGGACACAATGGAAACGATGAATATACCATCACACAAAATATTAGAAAACGATCGTACCTAAGTGAATATCTTGTGCTTACTGTTTTACGTTCTAAGGCATCCCTTAGAAGAGATAGATGCATCGGTTTGGGAGCATTCCATTCCTGCAAAAAATTACACCCTTGATTCATTTAGCAATTGAAATGTAAACAAACACAATTGCATAAAATATAAGATGATACATAACACATGTCAATAATAACAAATGCTCTTCAAACAAATGCTACAAGAGAAAGAAACGATTACATATGGTACCCGAGTTAAAAATTTTCAATCTAAAGCAAGTTAACAACCTATCAATTTATGGTAACAATTTTCAAAAGAGTGAAGCATTTCAAGCAGGAGATCCAAGTATTTAGATACCATGTATAGGATGTTGTGCACCATCAATTCCTTCATTATTACTTGTGAGATGCACACACTAATATTTAGTCCAGAATTTCGACAAATTACTGACGTTTTGGCCACAATTTCTTGAACCAATTTTTAGCTGAACAACATAAATGAGGAGCTGAACCTATAAAATCATTTTAATGAGCTTTTTCAACGCAGTTACCCCAATTGAAACTCATTCTAAGAATTCAGCACCTGTCCGAACAATGCCTATCCAGTCGATTCCAGTGACCACTCAAGCAAATCCACTCGAATAAGTGCCTCTAGTCGCAATCAAGTGTATCAAACAGATTGCACAAACGATACAATCTTGAACTTGAAGTCTAAGAATTCAGTACAGGAATCAAGAATTCGTGATAGAGTTACCAGAAGTGATACGATCGAGTCAACATTTCCCCTAACCTTAAAGATGGGAGTCATTTCACAGGCTGAGACGAGGAGAGAAGGGAACTCACGGAGAAGAGGGAAGGGAATGCGTGGCCGAGCGGGGTGAAGAGCGACGGGAAGAAAGCCGGGAGGAGGATCACCAGCGCGGCGGCCAGCGCTCCGCCTCTCTGCGGCGGGTGGTGACGGCGCCGCCACGAACGCAGCAGCCGCAGCAACATCGCGTAGCAGAGCACCTCCTCGCGGATCCACCCTCCGCCTGCGATCGCAGATGGTGACCCCCTAACCCTAGACAAAGTCGATGGAAGAAGATGGTGGCGCCTGGCTTCGTGGGTCCAGCTGCGGGCCGGCGGATTAGTGACGCCGTGGCATGGGCTTACGTGGCGGCTTTCTAGTTCCTGAAGAAGTGAAGTCAGTCGAAGATGACACGCGGCGCACAATGGGTTGCGGAAAAGGTTGTATGCTGTACGGAGTCCGCAACGGAAGGGGCGTTCGCTATCATCTTTGCAAGCCTTACAGTTTCCTCGACAAACCTCGTCACATGAATTGGGCTAAGTTGGGCTCTCACTGCGGCCCAAACTATTTATTAGTGGGCCAACTAATTATTATGCGTAAAATCTTTCATAAATTAGATAATTACATATTTTCTATTTTATTTATTTATATATTTTTATTGTATACGACTGAATTAACAGCAGTGATACAGAATGATAAGGTGACCATCTCAGTGTTTTCCGGCGCCGGCGGTGGTGCTTCCCCCTGCCGCCCGCCCTTACGAAGGATACTATGCTCCTCCATTTCCACCTCTCCCCTCCTCCTCTTCCTCCACGTCGACCCAAGCTCCTTGCCTGCAGCCCCGACCCCGTCATCCGCACGACCGGATTCGGTCCACTCCGTCCGCTCCCGCCCACCCTCCTCGCCTCCCCGGCCTTCGCCACGGACGCCGGCCTTCGATTCCGTGAGAAGCTCCTCTACCTCGAGCACGACCTCGGCCTCGACTCCTCCCGCGCCCTCTCCCTCAACCCTTCCCTCCGCTCCGCCCCCCTTTCGGCCCTCCACTCCTCTGCCGCCGCCCTCCGCTCCTTCGGCCTCCTCACCGCCGACGCCGCCCGCGTCTTCGCCATGTACCCCTCCCTCCTCACCTGCGACCCCAGCGCCGACCTCCTCCCGGTCTTTCACTTCCTACTTGGTCCCGCCGCCATCCCCTTCCCGGACCTCCGCAAGGCCGTCGCTCGCTGCCCCCGACTCCTTGTCTCCAGCGTCCCCTCCCAGCTCCTCCCCGCCCTCCGCTTTCTCCGCCGCCTCGGCTTCGTCGGCCGCCGCCGCATCACCTGCCGCACCACCCTCCTGCTTGTCTCCAGCATAGAAGCCACTCTCCTCCCCAAGCTTGACTACCTCCGCCGACTCGGCTTCTCCCACCAGGAGACACGCAGCTTGGTGCTCCGCTCGCCCGGTATGCTCACCTTCAGTATAGAGAACAATTTCAAGCCCAAAGTCGAGTTCTTTCTCCATGACATGGGCAGAGACCTCTCGGAGCTCAAGGACTTCCCGCAGTACTTCTCCTTCAGCTTGGAGGGGAAGATCAAGCCCCGGCATCGCTTGCTGGCGGAGAGCCGTCTCCGGATGCCGCTTTCTGAGATGCTCAAGGTCAGCGATGGCGAGTTCATGAGTCGCCTGGTGGAGATGCGGCTGAGTCCTGTTAATGACAAGTTGTAGGCAATCACCATGTGAGTCACTTTGCGTTCCTTCTCTTTCCCCGTTGAACGAGCAGATTAGGTGTATGCGTATATGCCTCACTTGTTCCAAAAATACAACTGCAATGATTTAGAATAAAAATAAAACTAATATTTTTCTTACTTCCAGTGGCAAAATAGTCTCGTTATTTCTACAACTGTTTTCCATAAATTCTCATGTGTTGCATTTTAGAGTGTTGTTCTGTTTAATAATAGAGCAGATCAAAACTGATTCCGAAAAGTTTATGTCATGTGGTTCTTCTAAATGTTGTCTTGATCTCTTCACTTCCAATAAGAAATTCTAGCTTCCATCTTTCACATGAGCTGAGTGCATGGGTCATGTTCTTTGAGTTATTTCTTGATCTTTTTTTTTTGTTTTCAAGTAGAATTTAATCTTCCATCTTTACATTTCATGTTTGTGTACCTTTCATGCCCTTGATTCGGTGACCTTCGACCTGCCTGGGAGCTGATTACGGTATCGTTTTCACACTGTCAAGGAAGAAATACTATAGGATTTTTAAGCACACAGATTCCTCTCTACTCAATTCTGCATTTCCACAGACTTATCGGAAATGCAGGTAATTAGCAAAGTATTTCTTCTTTATCAGCCAAGTAGTTTGTGTGTCTATTTGCAATCAAGTGCATGCCTTTACTTCCAATTTAATTTAAACGAAGATGAAAGAGAAGTTATTAACACCTTTTAAGAAGTTACCATCACCACTTATTTATCTAAAATAACTCTTAAAGAGCTATATAACTAAGTAATTTCATATATTGAGCAGACCAGAACTTACTGATCAAGGACTGGTTTGAGACCATATTGTTTGATACCGGTCAATTTTCAATTTTCTATCATTTTTTCTAGTGTTACCAGGTGGTACAGGTTGCTTTACTGCCAAGCATACTGCTATTGTACCAGTCTAATAAGGTGCCAAAACTGATATCAATCTGAGATTTGAAACCCTGAAACTAACACATTAGATTGGTTTTCTGTCACCAAAATGGATTTAATCTAATTTAGTCAATGTGGATAAAAGTCATGCAGAGACTTGTCTGGTTACTTTTAATTCTGGCTGTGTTAACAAATTTGTATAATACAATTGTGGTGAATTTCATGCTGGAACTGTATGGTTCTTTCAGCAGTAACATCATATTAATATACCGGTAAACACGAAATATCAATGCCAACAACAGGTGTGATATAAAGGTAATTGTTCTATTATAATAACCATCATTACAAAACTTGGAAGGATATAACCATGCCAGTTAACCTGTTGCTGTATGTTGTCACGGCCATCCTGTTTGAGGAATAAAAATTCGTTATTGATTTTCATCATCATTCAGTAATTACTTTTGAATTTTATGTTTAGAAGCAGTTTAGCTGGCACAAAGCTATTGCTTTCGAATGTTCTATTAGTCATTCAACCAACAGTGATTATTTTGTAAGAGCACCCGCCAACATTGGATTTTGTTTCTCATTATTCTGCATCATGATCCAATATCATGGCCTACTATAATGGTGAATGCTAAGAGCAAACATAAATGGAATCAGGGAAATGTTGATAATAACCCGTTACTAGCAGAGGTAATGGGTTTAATAGGTATTTGCTGTACCCGTAATAATAGAGCTTTAGAATCTTGACAGAATATATGTATTGCCCCTCAAACTTAATGTTGTCTAATGAATTTCTCGGTGTAAGCAACAATCCTGTTGGTATTTTTCTCACCAGAGGTTGGAGGTTACTGAAAAGTAGGGCAGAGTTTCTATTACAGTCCGATAATACTAGTTCTGAAATTTGAAGCCCAAGAAGAAAAGGACAAGATAACATGAGACCTCCCGTACATGGGTTATTTAACTGCATTACATGTCTTATTATTGTGAAGGTTCAACATATCGGCCAAGTGGTAATGATTGTGCTCTCGAAGAGACCCTGCAAGTTTCTGATGGATGCCATTGTGCATGTTTGTAGACAGGTTCAAGGTCCAGTTGATCTTCATTCTCAGTTTTTATTCATGCATGTGCCGATCATTCAGTTTGATTCACTAGCACTGTGCTATCATTCGTTAGATTTTTTGCATACTTGGATTGATCTACGGGCATAAAAACAAATCCAGATGGTCATTGAGTTTTTGGTTCTTGACTTGAGACAACTTTTTTGTTCTGTTCCTTTAATTAAAATCCAAACAAACAATTGACACCAATGCATCAAATAGTTCTTTGTCAACCCATAAGAACTTGTTGTTGATGCTTTCTGCTTATATTCTAATCGTATCTTGCAAAGATTTGTAGCATGGAGGAGAATGGACAGGTGAAGTCGAATTGCCTCCCTGGTGGACAAGAATGGACTAATTATGACACATACATAAACTAAAGATGGTTGAACTTGAATCTAGCCTAAGCTGCTGAAAATTATACCCGGTGAGGACCAAGATGCACTGTGATTAGTAATTCTAGTTTGGATTTTGTTTATTTTACTTCAGCATATGCTTAGTGATCGTTTTGGAAATATAGCTGCTATTGCCTTTTTGTTTTAGCTACTCGTTAAGTTTGGTTTGCCAGCTCCTTTAAGATTGTATGCTCTTGATTGTTAAAGTGTGTTAGATGGATCACTAAGGAGCTCCTTGATAATTTCATCCGTAGTGGTACCTCTATACAATTCTGAATGAAAGGCAAATACTAAAGACGATAATGTCATCATAGGCAATTACTAAAACAAATGCATTATGTCAATTTATTGAGGTCATGTTTTCTTTTTCACATTTCTTTAGTAAAAAAAATATCGATAAAAAATCACTTTTTTTGTTCCGAAAAAAAAAAGAATGCAATTGGGATGATGGTGGAGGAAGTGAAAGAGAAAAATTGTTGATCAGAATGATAAGAAGTGCATTTGTCTTGTCAGAATTTACATCTTTTGGAGTTTGTGACTGATTATTGATAGATTTAAAAGTTATAGCAGTTTGGAGAGAAGCTTGAATGAGCTCTGAGAGTTTGTCTGTGGAGTCAAATTGCAAGAGAGATCCTCAACTTTGTGATGCTGAGAAACCTGTGTGATGGTGGGAGATATGTCAATCAAGATGAGTGATTTTAGGGGCAGCAAGAAACTAATATTCCCAGTCAACATGGACTCATGAAATCTAGATACTAATCCAACAAAGGCACCCTTTAACTTTTGTTAGTCTGAGGAATGACTTCTGTAGATTCCATAGAGGACTGTTCAAATCAGTACATCATCCACTGAAACTTTCCTGGGAGTTCAGACAACCTAAGTACCAGTTATCAGATAGAACACTTGGTATCACAAAAGCTGCACTAGTTACATTGTAGTGACTCATTGACACCATAGCTTTTGACTCTTACTTACCCTTGTTCTTTGTCCTTGGAAAGGTTTTTTTCGAATGCCAGCCTCTTGTGAGGAAGAGTTCTTTAGAGGCTTCCTGTGCATCTCTCTGGGGAGGGCATATATTCCCTTTCTGAGTCACTAGTCCTTATCATTGTCTGAAAGACCCACATAGGTGAGGATCACTGTTCCTATGCCCTTCCATGGACATCGTCATAAATGATGTCCTTCACAATACAAGTCTTCCGTCTTGTTTATGTCAAGGTTTTGAATGCTGAGGCAATTGGGTTGGTGTGGCATTTCTTCTTTGGGGTCACAATGGTTAGGCAAGTGGGACAGCATCTGAACCTGAGCTAAGTGCCCAAAGAAAATGAACTTAATGCACTACACTTTCTTCATGCAAACTAATGTGTTCTTTTGGTGGGACTCTTCTCTCTCCTCTCTTACAATGCTTTTGCTATGAGCACATTAATGTTCTTTTTATTTTTGTATCACAAGCTCTGTATCTCCTCAGTATTTATACTGCTTCAGCAGATAAGAGCTTTGGATTTTGCTGACAGCCTTTCCTTTCACCTCATTTACTTCAAGGGGAGTTTCACCTTGTCTTCCTCACAGGTTTTGGTGTTCTTCTGAAGTAAGGTAACATCAACTTCAACCTACCTGCTCTCATGTCATGCTATGCATGAACTGAAAACTAACCCAGGGCTCATCATGCTTTTACTTCAAGTTGAGATGCACCATAAGAAGATGAATCTACCTATGCATATTTATCGTACTCGGTCTTTTTTGTCAATGATTCTCAATGAAACAACTTTGCGTTGCAGTTTACGACATGGTTCTTATGATCATCATGATTTGTGCCAAACAAGTGGTGGTCACCATCCAAGACAACACTTGCATGGAAGCTAGACAGTAGCTATTGGGTTTAATAGTTGCTAGTGACAACTAATCCCATTTTCCTTATCAGAAGTGAAGATTGTGAATGGTGGAAGAAAATATATTGCAAAGATCTCCTCCCTTTCCTTGCTTTGGGTGTTGAGAAAAGTTGAGGAGCTCTCCTTTGTCTGAAAGAGAAGCATCCTCTATTACATAACTGATAAATTCAAAGCTCCTCTTTACATTTAATTGTGCTTCCAACAACAACTGCTACTACTCCATACTAATGCAGTTCCTTTCTCAGGGACCTCTATACCATGCAGCTGAGAAGCCTATTCTGTCAACTCATCCCATCAACATAAAGTCATGTGAAGTATATGGAAGTGGATGCATCATCTTCTTGGGAGTTTTAGACCACTTAACAGAACCTGCTTCATTCAATAAGGTGTGTTGCATAAGGATCAGTGAAACACACACTGTTTCTCTCTGTTCTTTTGCCTTGAGCTTGTGGAGTCTGTACAGACACAGAACTACACTCTTCTTTTGCTCCCAAGTGCCATGTAATCTAGTCTTCCTCATGTCTGCACTGCAAGTGTTCACTGTAATGGAAATGTCTCAGGCACACTGTTTTCAGTGGCCTTTGTTATGCACATACCCATACCCATTGTTGCATCCCCCAAATGCTTACATAATATGGTTCACTTAATCCTTGGAAATGTGTGCTTAGCTCTTTTTTATCCCTTGGTTAACTGGTAATTCAACACTTGGTACAACTTCATCTGACCATTAGCAATAATCCTCTTGCCATGAAGTTGGTTGGACACATTCAAAGTGGCATGCTTTGCAGCAAGTGCAGGTTGAAGCAGAGAGAGGTTCCTAGTTCAGGCAACTTTTCTTTGTTGATTGGCACTTTAGAGAGAGAAAGAACAAGGCTTGTAGAAATGGGAAGCACTGCATCAAGCTCTATCTTTTTTGTCAAGGGAGAGAGCAACAGCTATCCATGAAGTTGGCAGATGAAGTGCATATCTGCACTTGCCTCTCACACGAGTGCTGCAAAGACACGCACACGTGTGGACCATAGCTTTAAAGAAAGTGATGGCGGTACAGCTGAGCCCTGCTTGGGTTTCTGCTTCTAGCTTTCTTTGTTCTCTCTCTCTCTCTCTCTCTCGCTCTCTCTATCTCTCTCTCCCCTTGTCTATCTTCCAATTTCGTTGGAAGTGAAGGCATGGCGAGTGGATGGTATGCGGACACTTCCTCTTCTTCCTCATCCAAAGAAGTCTCCTCACTCTTTGCGGGACCAACCTCTTCGTTGGAGAGCTGTCACTACGGCAGGAGCTCGAAGCGCACCTGTCGCACCTTCCCCTTCATGGAGAGCTGCCTCGGCTTTCAGGAAAACCCTCAAGAGAACACCGAAGTGGCTCACGTCGTCGGAGAAGATAACCCAGATGGAGGGAAGACCTGCGCCAGAGGCCACTGGAGGCCAGCTGAAGACTCCAAGCTCAGGAGACTGGTCGAACTCTACGGCCCGCAGAACTGGAAGCTCATAGCAGAAAATCTCAAGGGCAGATCAGGTCGTGATCATCTCTCTCTCTCTCCTCTCTCTCTCTCTCTCTCTCTCTCTCTCTCTCTCTCTCTGTTGTTTGATGCTCTTTTGTGGGCGC